TCCACAACCTGGGGCATGGCTATGAGTTTTCTTATCACTTTCCCTTCACACGAGTTTTTGCAGGTCAGTATTAACCTAGATGGTGTTTTGCTGTCTCTGTATCACTTCGCCTTGGGTGCAGACACACTTCAATTTTCCAACCCCAAGCAAATGCAACTTACTGCTTTCAAAGCCAACCCCAGTCCTTTCTTCCTCCTGCAATGCACTGAGCATATACCAAGCCAGAAATGTAGCTTTCCCCCCAGCCAGGATGGTTTGTATGGCTTTAAAGCAGCCTCCTGTGGACATTCTTTCTTTCTCTGTGCTGCAGGGATGTTCTCTGTGCGTGTTCCCATCCCCTCTATCCCCACTGCCCAGGTAGTGGTGGAGTCGCCATCCCTGGAGGTGCTCAAGAACTGTGAAGATGTGGTCAGTGGGCACGGTGGGATGGGCTGGGGTTGGACGTGATGATCTTAGACTAGAGGTCTTTTCCAACCTTAATGATTCTGTGATTCTTATCACCCAAAAGTCAGTTTCTCCAAAGGCCACTGGATGTCAGATAAGAGAAAGAGAATGTGGTGACCACAAAAGCTGTGCAATAACCTGGCAAATGCCCCCACTCAGCCCTGATGAGTTTAATTGGAAAACACTCAATTAACTCATGCATTTCTGTCATTCAGGCTCTGCTCGTCACTGCCACCTTAGATCTGTCACAACTCACAAGCAGGGCACAGGAGCAGGACGAGGTATCCCCAGATTCCCCATCACACCCCATTCTTCATCCCCTCCCATTCCCTCTTTCTGCAGGCTCAACACGTACGGTCACACTTTTCTACCAAACTACCTCACCTTGCTGGTCACCCTTGCTAGGAGAGCTGGTGCCCAAGTACTTGGGGTAGCACAGGTAGGAGAAACTCTTTGAGAAGCATTACTAGCAATAATTTAGTTTTTCATCTGTTCATCAGCATGGATCCCTTGTCTGGAGCCCTCAGTGGGATGCGAGGGTGACCTGGGGCCATCGGGAAGCGGACCGTGTCCATGTCACATCCCAACTGGGGACAGGGCAGGACTAAGGGTCACTGCACAGTTAACACAATGGCATTGCTCAATTCCTTCTCCCATTCTGTAGGCAAAGGGCAAGAAAAACCAAATGAAGTCTGAACATGTACAGTTAGTGAAGCAAAATAAAATAGAGCAGTCAAAGTGGCTTGAAACCTCATCGCGTGCTTCAAGCATGGACCAGGTTCAGATTTCTACTTCGGTGATGGAGAGGGGAATATTCTGGCACAGAGAAAACTGCTGCCAGATCCTGATGGGGACAAGTGTTTGTTAATGTTTTTTATTAACAGTAAGAATTAATTCTTGTTATTAATACTAAGTTCCTATTGTTAACGTAACAAAGATGTGGAGGGAAAAGATGGAGATGAAGGAAACAAAGGAGATGAAGATGACAAACTAGATGAAGAAGGGGAAGAAGAATCTTGGAATTTTCACAGAATCACAGAATCACAAGGTTGGAAATGACCTGCAAGATCATCCAGTCCAACCACCCTCCCATTCCTATTAGTACCACAAGCTACTAAACCAACTAAATCTTGTAAGAGGAAAGGTTGAAAAAGACCTCTAAGATCATCCAGCCCAATCATTGACCCATCCCCACCAAGCTCACTGACCACATCCCTCAGTGCCGCATCCCTGTGGTCCTGGAGCACCTCCAGCTATGGTCCCTTGGCAGCCTGTGACAATGCATCACCACTCTTATGGAGAAGAAATTGTTCCCAATATCCGGTACGAACATCCCATGGAACAACATAGGGCCATTACCTCTTGTCCTAAAAGGAGGAGAAGGAGAAGATGGAAAAGAAGACAAAGAAGACAAAGAAGATGAACGAAAAGAAGAAGGGGAAGAAAGTGAAAAAGAAGAAGAATAAGAAGGAGAAGATAACGTTTGGCCACCTCTGTGCAGGAGGCCAGGCTGTGACACGGCACAAACACACTGCCTGCCATTCACTGAGCAGCAGTGCCAGCACTGAGTCCTGCAGGTGTTGGTTTTCTGGTGTGAGGCACCAAAAAGAAGGGGAGGGGAGCTCAGGAGCGGGCTGGAAGCTTTTTCTTAAACGGAAAAAAAAAAGTGAAAAACCACAACTTTTTAATTGATTCCACCACACAAAGAATGGAAATACACAAAACCAGAGCAGGCATCGGGTGAAAACTCCTTCCACTTTTATAATTACAGCATAGAAAAGAAATCCTCGGTTCACGTTACAAAGACGGTCTTATAAAAAAAACAAGCCAACAGAAAAAAGATCACAGAGCACCGGCAACAGCGGGACCGTGCCCTCTGCCCCTCTGCTGCCCCCAGGTCACCAGCGCTGGGATGTGGTTCTGGGGACAGGTGGATGGGGTCGATGCTGGAGGCGGTCTCTGCTGCCTGGAAATCGCTTTATTTCTCAGAGATGGGGGAAAAAGGGTTCAGAATTATTGCCTGCAAAGCTCCCGCTCAGGCTGGGGTGAGTTGGTGGTGATGGTGGAGGGATGTAGGCCATCCGAGGATGTGGGATTGGGCAGCATTTCCCGTTGGGGTCCGTCCTTTGGCACTTGGTGGGAAGGGAAAATCAGCTCTGGGGTTGCTGGAAGAGCCCATCCTGGAGGAGCAGCCCTGGGGAGGCAGAGCTGCAGCAGCCTCCATTCGATGTCAAAGGTGTCCAGGGAACAGAGACATCTGGGGACAAATCATGGGGGGTGTGGGGCTGACTCCAACTCACCTCCATGCTGCAGGCTGGGAAAAGGGAGAATGAACCCAGAGTACATCGGTGACCCACAACAAAGTCTTCTGGAAGTAAAGTTGGTTTGCAGGTTGTTCCAACACTTCGTATTCCCAACTCATTTTCGGTGGATATCATTCGCAACCTCACCCCAGGAGCTCACACCTCACCTCCCACCAAAACCATTCCCACCTCCCAGCTCATCACTCAACTTTATTTTTTTGCTGCCAAAATGAAAAATGCCCCCATGTGGGTCAGTGCCAGAAAGAATGGATTTACCCCCAGAAGCCCAAGGGAGGCAGCGGGCACTGCCAGCCTTCTCTGAAGGCACAACACGGCCTTGGGAGGAGGAGCAGGAGGAGGAAGAAGGTGTGAGGAGTGGGGGTGATGCTCAACAAAAGTGTACTCAGGCACTTCAAACTAAAATAAAATAAATAAAAAACCAACCTAAAACATTCATTATATTCATTAAAACAGCCTGAAAGGGCTGTGTTGAGAGCAGCGTCAATATTGCCAAATCGAAGAGTTCCGATGGTGGGGATGGAACCCCAAAATGTGGGGTGGCTGTGGGGTGCTGGTCCTGGGGTGTGGGGACAACGAGCAGCCAAGTCCCCTGGTAAGACAGTGGGGGCTTTTCAGGAACAAAACCCCTCCTTTGTGCCATCCCGACTCCAAATCTGGTGCTTTAGGATGTTCTCCAGTGATGCCACGGTTGTGCCAACCCCACCAAGCTGCAGTTCCCTCCGCAGGCCTGAGCTGCTCCAAACAGGCTGGATTTTGTCCCAGATTCCCTCTGCGCTTCATTCCACCCAGCTCACAGGAAGAGGACAAATTAAAAACCAGGTCTGAGAAACAGAAGAAAAGTGTCCAGTGACCGAGCCCACATCCCCACCACGTCCTCACGTCCTGCTGCGTCCCCATATCTTCGCTGCGTCCCCACTGTGCTGGCCCATCCTGGGGCTCAAGCACAGCTCTGAGAGTTTCCTTGGGTCTTTTGCAGGTGAACTGGAGATGTCCTGGCCATGGTAGCCTTGCACTGGGAACTAACCAGATGATGGAGCCCTTGGATGTGACCATGCCCAACTCAGCTTCATTTTTGGGGTGCAAGAGGAGAACGGAGGGAGGCGACTTGGTGCTGTCCCCATCCCCCAGAAGTGGCAATGGCATCGAGTTGGGGACAGGGGGCTCCGAGGGGTCCAGTCCCACGCTGGCCAGGGTGGATTCAGGGCACGGAGTTACCCAGACCTGAGGAGTGAAAGGAAGAGCTGAAATCAGGACTGGTCCCTGTGTGTCCCTGTCTGTCCCCTCTGATATAGAGTGCCACAAGCACCCATCCATGGGGACAGGCATCCTGCTGGGGTGCCCATCACCCTCATTTCATGACCAAAAATAAGGCAAAGCAGCAGAGGACAGACTGGGCCACATTCCTCCAGGGTGGCATGAGGTCCCCCATTGAGGCTGCCCTTGTCCCCAGCTGCTTGTGGGGCACTGAGGGCTCGGTGCCCACCCCAGAACCCACAGTGAGAACACAGGGATGTGGGGATGTGGGGAAATGGAGCCACGCTGGGTGGGCCGTGGTGTGAGACGTGCACATCCTCCTTCTTCCTCTGGGTGGAAGCCCTCCCACACGCCCGGCTTTAATCCAATTACAGCTAATTGGGAACTGCCAGAGAAGCTTCAGTTTCACAGGCTGTGGGCAGCATGGATTCATCTTCAAATTAACCCTTTCTCCCCAATTTCTCCCACCCCAACCATGGCAATGGGAACCCTACTGAGCTCTATTTGCCCCACAGAGGCAAACCTGAGCAATCACCACTGTTGCAGGGACCACACAGGGGACACCATGCCACCAGATGATGGGCTGCAGGGGGCAGGAGCCATGCAGACTCCCAGTTTGGTGGGTGCCAGTGTTATTCTGGATGCATTTGTTTCCCCACGATCCCCTCTTTGCATATATAATTGCACGGCGTGCCCTTGAATTTCCATACAAGTCTTAAAATATAATTAATTGTTGGCAACCAGCAAAGCCCAAATGAGGCTAATCCCTTTAGATTTTGCAGCCTTATCTCGTTTGAGCATTTATCTAGTTAAGCTTAATGGGCAGGGAGAGGAGAGAAGCCACCGGCGCTTATCAGCCACGGCTCAGTGTGACAGAACCACCCAAAAACTCCTCTCCACTGGGCCGAGCAGCCACACAGCCCCAAATCCTTTGGGTTCAGTGGCCCTATGGAGCTCCCATGGCATCTCTGGACGGACTCACGTGTACAGTGGCTGTAGCTGTAGATGCGACGTCTTCTGCGGCGCCTGGTAACCATAGGAGTCAAACCCACCGATGAAATCAACTGGGGAGAGAGGAGAGCGGCAGGGTGAGCAAGGAGGGCACAAGGGGCTCTGCCCCCCAACCCCCCCATGAAGCCGACTTAATATTCAGCCAGCATCCGTCCATTTCCAAATCTAATAAGATATTCCAGTAAAAAGATGCATTCGAATCTTGGCTACAGCAGCATTAATATTAAAAGTGTATTGAATGCCTGAATTTGTTTGAGTGTCGACAACCGCCTGGAATGCAAACACGCTTCAAAGACAGCGCGGGCAGATAAACCCTTCTCCAGATCCCCGTCTCCATAAGCAAGTTATTACAACAGGCAGTGTCCAATTTCACACGGAGATTTTTCCTTTCCGCTACAGTGGATACAGAGGCGGCGGTGGGGAGAACACGCCCTGAGGATGCTGAGATCGTTCCTAGGGGTGTCACTTTGCTCTTAGGGATGCCAAGGTCGGTTTTAGGGATGCTGAGACTGATCCAGACTGATCCCCTGCTCCCAGGGATGCTGAGAGTGGCCCCAGGGATGCTAAAATTGGACCGAGAGATTCTGAAAGTGGTCCCAGGGGTGCTAAAACCAGACCTACAGATGCTAAAACCAGACCTAGGGATTCTGAGAGTGATCTAAGGGATGCTAAAATTGGTCACAGAGCTTCTAAAACCAGACGTAGGGATGCTGAGCCCAGTCTGGGATCCCACAGCTCCCCTGGGTTGTCCTCAGTGCTGTGCTGGGACCCAGAAACACCAAGGGACCATGAATCCGTTGTCAACCCAGATGCATTCTTCCTAAGACAAGGGGATGCTGGGTGCTTCTCGGTGCCTTTGCAATGTTGGAAGCTGCAGCACTTCACTACCTCTGCTTGGCTGCTTGGGCTGCCAGCTGGCATGAATTAATTAATGGCAGATGAGCATTTAATGTGGCTGGATGGCTGCAGCCATAACTGCCTGTTTAATTGCTGTTGGGGTACTTAGAGCTCCTGTCTGGGTGGGTGCAGTGATTATTGTCAGAGCGAAAAGCGCAGTGTAGATTGCAGAAAAATTAGCCTGCATCTTCACTTCATTTTTCCCTTCTGCCCCTGCTCAGAGCGCATTGTGGATGGGGGGAGGCTCCACCCAATGACGAGTGAAACCCCACTGGGTGACACTGGTCCCATTTCACAGCCCAAGGCTGTGACTGCTGCCACCCTGCAGCACCAAGGGGTGTGCTATGGGGACTGCTGGCAGCATGGGGTGGCGCATCACATCCCAAAGCTGCTCAGCTGCCTCCTTGAGGAGGGACAAAGGGGACCAAATCCCAAAGTAGTGATTCCTTCTCCTACCCTAGCCCAGAGCGGCCCTTGCCCTATGTTATCTGGGATGGATTTGCAGCACTGCAGCTTGCCCTGTGACTAATAGCAAAGGCACTCACAGCTGTCTTCTTCCTCCAGAAACACTTTGCTGACATAGCAGGCGTAGACGAAGCCGAAGAGCTGCAAAATAAAAGCGGGCAGGGAGAGGCTGTTATGGGAGCAAGCAGCACCATGAGGACAGCAATGATGAGGGTGGGATGAAGCCACATTTTGGGGAAGCAAGCAGGCACGGGGATCTCATATGCGCTCTGTTTGTCCTCTCTTCCCAAAGCACCCAAGCAAAGCCAATGCCACCCATGACCACCGACTCGACCCCTGCACTGAGATATGTCACGTCAAGGCAATGGGGCACTCCAGCAGTCCCTTACCGCCAGGAAGATCTGAGCAGCACTGCTGAGCACCTCGATGTATTGGTAGTCCAGCAGGCAGCCGCTGACTGTGATGACGTGGTGATCCTCGAGCGCCAGCCGGGAGTTGAGCACCGGTGTCACCAGGCAGCCCGGCCCGTTCTCCATCCACCACGAGCGGTGCAGGGAGGTATTGAAGGTCATGATGAAGTCTCGGTCCTGCGGGAGGGGAGCAGAGGCACCGACCTTGGATCCGGGGATCCCATCCGTGCTCAAAAAGAGGTAGACAAAAATGGGTTTTCCCATCCTGAGGATGCTCCGCAAGCACCATCCCTGCTGCAAAGCCACAAAAAGCTGCAAAACCGACGCTATGCTTCCTCCACCAGCACCGAGGATGGGTCAGCACTGGTGGATGTGTTAACGAAGAGCACCCAATTAACCACTCATCTCTACAGCCCATGACATCCCCAGGGTTCGCTGGGGCTAGGGACACACATCCCAGCAGCGGGCATGCACAGTGCTGGGCTGACATTTAATTCAAACAGGAGCGCGGGGCTCGGGCTCATCGAGGGTACGAGTTCCTAAAGCCGAATGATGGGGGTTCGCTTCCACGCAGATGTTTCCACCACGCTTCCTGACAACACTCTTTTCATGTAAGCGCCGTAATATAGCAAATCAGGATCGGGCTGAGTGCCCTGCAGTATTTCCAGCAACCTTTGGTGTCTCTAGACCTGTTCATCCTTGTGTATCCCTGGAGCTTTTCAGTCCTTTTCCCTGGAGCAGACACAGACCCCAGAAAATCCACAGAGACCCCTGGGAAAGTGGGAACTCACAGCACAGTGCAAGCGGAGAGATGAAGACCTTTCTCCGCTTGATCTCCTCACTGCATTCAGAAATTGTTGCCCAATTTACACCATCCATAAAGCCAGACAGTGCTAAGTGCCAGCAGGTGATTAATGAGTGCCCTGAAATTCCCAGCTCATCAGCCTCATTAATTTGGAGCTCCTGAAACTCTGCCTCTGTCACACCACTGTGTTGCTTTTTCTACCCACTGTTTTCCCCAGTGCCATCCATCAGTCTGTCCCATGTGAACTTACATGCCAGGAAGAGATGAGGATGGATAGAATGAAAGAGAAGAAATGAGATGAGGAACAATGAGATGAAAGGGAAGGGATGGAATAGAAGAGATGGAAGGAGTGGGAAGGATGGAATGGGATAGGATGGAGCAGAACACACGGGATGAGGAGGAATGGGATGAAAGAGATGGAAGGAATGGGAGGAATGGAATAGGATGGAATAGAAGGCATGAGATGAGGAGGGATGGGGTGAAAGCAAAGGGATGGGATGGGGAAGGAAGGAATTGAAGAGGTGTAATGGGGAGGAATGGAATTGGATGAAAAGAATGGAATGGAAGGGTTGGGAAGGGGCAGAAAAAAAATGAAAGGGGAGAGATGGAAGGGATGGAGAGGGATAGAAGGGATTAAATGAAAGGGTTGGGTGGAAGGAAATGAAAGTTTTGAGTGTGGGGGGGGGGAAAGGAAGAAGATGGAAGAGAAAGGATGGGATAGAAGAGAAGGGATGGGATGGAATGGGATGGGATGGGGAAAGATGGAATTGAAGAGCTGGAACTGGATGAAAGGAATAGAATGGAAAGGTTGTGATGAAAGGGATAGGATTGAACAGAAGTGATGAAAAGGGAGGGATGGAGAGAGAGGGAAGGGGAAGGAAGGGGAAGGAAGGGGAAGGGATGGGAGCGGAGGGGAGGGAAGGGGAGGGGAGGAAAGGGGAGGGAAGGGAAGGGAAGGGAAGGGAAGGGAAGGGAAGGGAAGGGAAGGGAAGGGAAGGGAAGGGAAGGGAAGGGAAGGGAAAACTGGAGGAAAGTGAGAGGAAGGCAAGAAGGCAAGGAGGCAGCAGTGCCTGGCCTGTGGTTACCTGCGACAAGTGCCCGACCTCCAGGTAGAAGCAGATGATGAAGGCGTTCCAGCCGACCCACAGCACCAGCCACACCGCGTACTGCCAGAGAGAGCGAGCCGATCAGTGCTGCGCCAGCGCTGTGCGCATCCTGCTGCCAGCCCACTGCCCAACTCCCAGCAACTTAATCGCAGGGATCTGGGACGTTGCACAGTGACCACGGCCCGGCAGCACCTACCATGATGAGGTATTTGGATCTGTACTGGATGGTCCCGAAGATGCCCAGGATGACAGCCATGATGTGTAAAAAATTGGCCAGGATGGGCGCCCACTGATAGCCCAGGAAATCAAAGATCTGCCGCTCCAGCGCCGCGATCTGGGAAAGAACAAAGGAAGGGACAGCGCAGGAATCAGTCACTGCAGCAGCTCTGTGGACATTAAAGGCAAAGAGTATTGCGTAATTAATGAGAAATCCCATGGACAATTAGTTACAATAGACTGAAATGTCTGCATGATTCATCGGCCAGTGGTGGGTGAATACATCACGAGCATGGAGTTACTGGGAACACTCCTGCCCAAGTGGAGGAAGGGCAGCACAGAGCTGCGAGCCCATCCCCTGTGTGCCTCAGTTTCCCCACTGAGCATCACCCCCTGGGCCTGAGCTCTGTGCAGTGCCCCCCTAGGGCATGGGATCCCCTGGCTGTGGCTGACTGCTGGCAGGAGGGCAGTGGGCTCGTGCTGGGTGTTGGGCCGACTTCCCCATCCATAAAGCATCATTCACATTACTGCTTGTTGAGTTGGTTTAGCGAGAGCTCCAATTAATGGAGATTTCAGCCAGCAGAGCAAAGCCCTCCCATCTCCATCACACGCGACACAGAGCGAGCACGGAGCCCGCGCAGCCCCTCGGGCCAGGCTGTTTGCATTAAGCCTTAATTCACTCCCGCGCTATTTAAACTCTCTAAGGAAACAGCCTTTGGAAATACTTACAACTGGGCTGTAAATCTTTTAAATCGAGGAATGTAAATAATAAATGATACAAGGAGCGTGGCGCTCGGGGTTTTATAGCCATCCATCGATCTGGTGGCTGGTGACGGAGCTGCTGAGCAGGACCCCTATTGCTGGATTCCAACAGGAGATGGGGAAGAGCATCCAAGAGCATCCCACAGAGCCAGTGCAGGTCCCAATTTACTGTGCTAATAGCACTCCTTTGGCACCCCATCACCCATCACAGCCATAAGTGATGCTACTGGGGGCGTGGGGCAGAGCCGCCATGCACCAGCCCACTGCTAATTAAGATAATCCTGCAGCTGATCAATGCAACGAGTTTTAGGGCTCCCTCTTAATTAAATACTCTCTAGTTCATCGATCGGCCCCAAAGTTCCCTTTGCAGCAAATCATAGCAATTAGCCAGGCGCGGATGCGTGCCGGAGTCCTGCTAATTGAAACGCGGCGCTTTCACTGGGGGCGTGGAATGGAAGCGGCCGGGTTCCACCAGCGCATGGGGAGAGGAGGCAGAGCTGGAGCAAAATGCGTTTTGTTTAATGCTGCTGACACCAAAGTCGAGTGGAAAGAAGGTTCCCATCTCTGCTGTCCCCACGTCACCCATTGGCCACCACGCTATGCCCCGCAGTCACTTCATTGTGCCCCATGCCAACATTTGGGGCGGTTTTTCCAGCCCTGCGCTCGCAGCAGCACTGAATAAATCCGGTGGATTTGTGGGGCGGTGGTGGCAGCTATGGGGTGATTTTCTGCCCCGCAGCGTGAAGAGCAGAGGGAAATGGGGCTGAGCCTCCCGGGATGTGGGAAACGAAGTGCAGTGGCTGCAGACCCCGACCCCCCCTGCGCTCCGTCCTCACGTCTCAGCTGCGATGGGGCTGACATGTTTGCTGACACAGATGCATAAATATATTATCACAGCCCCCACGACCTCGATAATTAGCCGGTGGAGAGAGACAGGAGCGAGCTATCATGCTGAAAAAACACAGCAGGGCTGGGGGCTCCTCGTCCCCTCCCCTTGGCCATAGGGAAGCTGGGGGGACAGTCCCTCTGTCCCTCTCCCTCCTGAGCATCTCCATGGGGCCAGTGGGAGGAATGAGCGTGGACCCCCCAAAAAGCATCACAGCTGCTCTCCCTGGATCTCTATCAATACCCCCTGGATTCCAGGCCATGACTTTGGCCACCCCCCCTGAACAAATCCCCAGTCTCTCCCATGGGCAGAGCAGGTGGGGGGACATCCCAGTGCCACTTGTCCCCACTGCACTTGGGGGACCCAAGGATCACCTTCCTCTCAAATGAAATCTCTTTCAATCTTTGCTTTATCCCTCTGGGAAATATCAGGAAGAAGATGCTCTGTTCACCTGCCGGCAGGGCTTTGTTAAAACCCTGTGAAGTGCAACGGGAAGGTTTCCTCCTGGCTCTGAATGTCAGAGCAGCAGAGCCTGGAGACTTCCCTGGGGAAGCAACAGCTGCAGCGTGATGACTGTGGCGGTGGGGAGGAAGAAAATCCCTTGCTTCCATTTTCCAACTGTCTGAATCCCATCCTGGTCCCTTGCTTGGCGTTTCTTGTAGATAAAAGTCCCCAGATCTGGAGCAGGATTCCACAGCATCCCAGTATGGCATCTTGGTATGGTATCCCACTATGGCATCCCAGTACAGAATCCCAGTACTGCATCTGGTACTGAATCCCAGTGCAGCATCCCATGAAAACAGCATCCTGGTAGCGCAACTCAGTACTGCATCCCAGTATTGCATCTCAGTATGACATCCCAGCATGGCATCCCATCACAGCATCCTGGTATGGCATCCCAATACGGCATCCAGGGACTGCATCCTGGTACAGCATCCCATACCAGCTGGGAATAGCTGAAGGTGAAGAAGGGGCCTCACTGGTCCTTGCTGCTGGCTTTTGTCTCCCCAGTATGGCTGTGGTCCCACCAGGCACCAGGCTCCAGCCCTGCCCCTGGGATTGGTGAGGGATGCTGAGTCCTTCCATCACTCCACGGGCTCCAAGACTGGTGGTGGACTCCTAGAGAAAACCCAAGGTTGGACCTTCCAGGAGGGCTCAGGGGGTGGGGTGGTGCCCACATCTCATCCCACATCTCTACAGAACACAGGTGGTCCCCACAGCACGGAGCCTACAGGGCAGAGGGGGAAAACCCCAAAAGGGCAGCACTGCAGGGGATGCCCAACCCCAATCCAGCACTGAGGACTGATGATTCCGAAGCAGTGTTTGGCCAGGTACTGATGCACAGCCCAACTTTGGGGCTGCAGCAGTGACCAAGCAGACGGTGGAGCAGAATGCAGCCCTGCTTGATGCCACAGCAGCTGCACGCCAGCACAAATCCCTGCCTGGCTCCACAGCGTGGCAGGAGCTGAGCGTGGATCCATGCCCCCCGATGAGCCATTATCCTTCAGCCAGGCTATTTCCTTCTGAACACCATATGCCGCCGGCTCACCAGGGATTTACTTTCATTTAGCTGCGTTTGAATAGATTTTTTTCCATCGTGGATTCCCTTCTGCTGAGGCCAAAGATGCTGCGAGTGCAGCTCCTGCTGAGCTCTCACAGCCGGGGCTGCTTGCTGCCAGAAATGCACCATTTCTGGGAGGTTTTACGAGAAATCCTGGGGTCCAGTGGGAAACTCAATGGTCAGAAATGTGGGGCAGGATCTGTGGGGTGTCCAAAGGGATTGGCTCATTTGTCCGAGCCACCTGGGAAGGTGGTGGCACTGTGGCTCCAGGAAGGTGGTGCTGAGGGTAATAGGGCATGTGGGACCAAGGGATTGATGGGTGGAGGGAGAGATGGAGGAAGGGAGACATGGAGGGATGGAAGGATGGATGGAGAGAGGGATGCAGGGATGGAAGGATGGAGGGATGGATGGAGGGAGGGAGAAAGGGATTGAGGAAGGGATGGATGGAAGGATAAGAGATGCAGGGATGGAAGGAAGGAAGGAAGGAAGGAAGGAAGGAAGGAAGGAAGGAAGGA